TTTCGGTTACTGGTAAAACGACGGAAAGACCGGCCTGTTAGTTATGAAATGAGCAGACGCAACTGAAGAGTAAAGCGCGTCGCCTAACCGCATACCTCATACTTGCCATACTGAATTCACCTAGCATCATTATCCTATGTTGTGTTCCGATGTTAGTGGCAATCTGAACCGAAATCTGGACTTCCTGCAGTGTTCTTTCAAACACTAGGTTTGTGTGGTGGGGACGTTATCAACCGCATTCTATCTGGAGGTTGCGTTACATCGTCCGCTTCCATCTACCTTAGAGGTTTGGTTAACACCACTGATGAAACCGAGATAACCAGTCTAACCGGTGTGCTGCAGGAGGGAACGAAATACCATCAGTTGGATTCCTTCATTCCTTGCCCGTGGAGGCCAAGGTGATATACACCCCTCACGGATAACCACTTGGCTCCACAGCCTATGCGGTTCGTACACTTCACTGTCCGTAGCCATTATGTATCACTAGTCACCGTAGGGGGACAGCTATGTTCCGTCACCACAAGGAAAAATCACCTACACACCGGGATCTTGCTGCGATGACGAATAGGCAACGCCGACAGGCAGATGACTGATCGCAAACAGCTTACCAGCTTTGGGTCAATGAGACAGCCAGTTTCGCGAGATAGGACAGAGGCAAACGGTTGACCCTAATACACAGGCTATTTTGGGGGAGGGGGTTGGAACATGAGACGTAGAGAAATAAATTATCAGTAAGTATGTGAACCTGCAGTTTACCGAAAAGCGATGCCACGAAGAGGACCGTATGCTCACCATTCCATGGAAGTGAAGCGCAGAATAATGAAAACGTATGAGGAGGGAGCGGATTGGAAGCAGGTTGCTAGTGCACTTAACGTAAACGTCAAAACCTGCCGCAGCTGGATTCGTATGTGGGAGTAAACCGAACCTAGGGGACAGCATGGAGGGGCTCGTCGCAGAGCGTTAGCAGATAGTCATGTGGACACTCTGGTTGAGTGGGTCTCTGCGGAGCCAACAATAATCCTTGAAGCTCTTCGATTGCGGTTGAAAGCAGAGTTTGAAGTCGAGGTATGCACCAGCATGGTCGCCATATACTTAGACGACCGATTAATAACCATGAAGAAGTTGCACGATATTCTGGTCTCTGAACAGGTTAGAGAACAAGAGGCGACGGAAACCATTCGTATGGCAGTTGGTGAATTGGGAGGCAGAAGGAAGATAACAAGTGTGGATAGGTGAAACAAATTTCAACCCTTTCTGCGGGCGCACCAGGGGGCGCTCACTTCGCGGTACACGGGCGCAATGTACCATGGCGAATACTAGGAGTCAGAACCTACACCTGGTCGGAGCCATGACGAAGAATTCCTTGATAGCTTTCGCCGTTTTAAGAGGCATCTACAACAAAAATAGGTGTGCTCAGTGGGTGCGCCAACTACTGGATACTAACGGCTCCGCATTTATCGAAAGCTGTCTTTTGATTTGCGACAATGCGCCATGCCACGCGGACCTGGAGCAAGTTTTCTGTAGGAACCTTACCGATCAGAGAAACTTCTGCGACTGGCCCCATACTCTCCACTGCTTAACCACATCAAGGGCATCTGGAGTATTATAAAGTCCTATGGGAAGTAAGTAATGAGAGCACGCTATGCTGAAATGCTCAGAGGTGACCCTGCAGGTGTTCTAAGCAAAGGCGAGTGGCGGACACGTTTTCTGGAGAAGGTGGTGTCTGACTCACGAGCATACGTGACACAGCATCAATGTCAACAGATGGTTCAGCACGTTGTGAAGAACTACGGTCGTGTTATTCATCTATCAGATATGTAAAATACTTTTTTCAGTAAACTACTTGTTTGTAAATGGAAGTGTTGTTATTTCCTCGTCGAGGGTGGTCATAGTGCACTATACGCTCTGGTTTAAAGATACAATACTTGTGACAGATGTTCGAAAGTAGTGCGCGATGTCGTGTAGCATAGATGTTTACGTTTCCGCTTAGTGAAACAACCCTGTGAGAGCTTGAGAACTCGCGGCGCATGGGAGTACGGTTGCAGAGTTAGCGATGATCGGAAATCACCTATCGGAGATTTTGTGTTTGAAGATCAGAAGGCTAATGGATTTGGATACGGGTAGACCAGCGAAGAACATGCGAACATGGCCGCGGTGAATAGCATGTGTTGGCCAATTGCTTAGCGAGTCATAGCAGTACTGGCGACTGGACGCTGCTGAAAATGGCGATCGATGTGGGGCACAGAGACTATGAGGACAGAACAAATTAAGATATGCATGGTCGCGAGGGAATATGTTCCACGTGATGTGCTCGAAAACATTGCGCCCACTAGCGAGGGATCAGATTCCTATAGGTCGTTTTCTGAGTGCTCCCTCCATGCTTTCACGGAGCTTCACTGGAGTACCTGAACAGAGCGCACCAAGTTAGAGGTATTAGTTATCATATCCGTGATACGCCAGAATATGCAGTACTTTCGAGCAGTAGTTCAGATCGACAGAAAGATAGCCAAAGCACAACCTACGTCTGAGGTCTCAATGTGGTGTCCTTAGAGAACCACCATATACTTGCAATGATTCTTATGGAGTAGGTCGGATAGTTGACGGTAGAACTCATCTTTAGTTGAGTCCGGCCTGTAACCCGTGGGAACATGCACTGTTGCGTCAAACAAATAGTGTTTGGTTACCTCGCGGCTGCACAATCGTATGGAGGCTTTTACTTAAATTGCACAGGATTAGTCGTTAATTAGAATCCAAACAAGTAGCGCTGCTTCTGCGCGCACAGTAAACACAATTCGTACACTAGCCTGGTCCGCGGCTTCTTCACCTATGTCTCCCGATAAGTTTGGCGTGCATGTATTCTGCAAACGATCTGAGGATTACGTAAATTCATGTGCAAGTGTGTTGTCTGCACATGGAACTTTTCAGTTACCCAGGTAGGAGAAGCGATTAACTATTCCGTAAACCGAGCCAACGCCTTAATTCTTAAAGCCGTTACCAGCTAAGCTGTGAGGCGGTTAGCATATGTCACGAACCGTCGAGAGCCGATAACAAGTTTTGAGTGTCAACAAACTACCTATGACACCGGAACAGTACGAGTATAGCATTAAAGGGACCATGAACCGTTTCCTGAAACATCCGACTCGTTGCTGATTGCGAACACAGTCGACAGCCAGGTGGCTCAAACCCCTTCTTAATGGTCGATGGTAGTCCACACAGAAGCGAGTACTAAGGTAGGTTGTTCATCCACCCTCCGTTGGATACTTCATTCTGGTTAAAATATGGTTGGTCACTCACTCTATATGCGGAAACATTGGCTTTGTGGTATATAACACATAACCAGATGGACAGCGTCGAACTTCCCAAGCTCTGATATGCTGCGATGATTGTCTGCGGAACAAGCGAGACTCATTCACACTTGCTCTCAGTAGGAAGGCAATCCTGTGGGAGCACGCGACGGCGTACAACGAGCCCGTAAGCCGCTCCCTGCGTAGACATCCCATTCTCAGCCTCGTCTTGCACCACTACTTCTCTACTCATAGCACATCACGGTATCACCGTAGCATTAGTATACGCCTAACTGCGGTGTCACTATAATCTTTGGATTTTGTGGTCTATCCCTTACCAACCTACGGGACTCGTTAAGCATGCAGTTAATTGCCCCTACTAAACAATACTCCGTGTAACTTTTACACGATGCTTTGAGGCGCATTGCGTGCTAGCCGTGGAACAAGCACTAAGACAACTCATATATCAGCTGCATTACCATCTTATTGTCCACGTTGATACGTCGCCCATCACAATCGCAAGACGCCAGAAAGATTTCTGCGCTGGTATCATCTCACCAGTGCATGTGTCTATGTCTACCGGCGCACAGGCGATTCCGCGGTGTGACCAAAGTAACCTGTGGCCTACGCGCATTAATGCGCCACTCGTATTGTGCCTAGTGCCCGGTGCGGGCCATGTGTTCACAGCACGCGATAGATCGTACAGACAGGCGCCTGGAGTTTAGCTTAGTGACACGGATTGTCGGTCGTGTCAGAATGCGAGTAGCCAGTGACCCGATTCCATAACAGGCTCTGTTATAATAGTGGGGTGAATCGCGCTCAAACTCCTTATCATACACTGACCCCGTTGCCTCTTAGTCTGCCGTGGTTGACCTCAGATATTAACAAGTTACTACCCCCATCCGCCGTCATGTAATCCGTCACCGCCCATGTACCAAGTCGCACACGAGCAAACTCCGGGCTGTAGTGATTCCCTTAACCCACCTACCCTACACATGCGTACACGTTGCTATGTCTACTATGCATTCGACATGTTATTGGCCTACAGCGCTTGCCTAAGGAACCAGCCACACGACGGTGCGCGCATGTCACAGTAGCCTGACTCAACTTAGTTCATCGGAAGGAGTAACCTGTAAGCGTACCAGACTAAGTTGATATCTGGTTAGCTTAAGTCGCTACCTGTATGGCCTAACATGACTCGAAAATGGTATAGAGGCTTAGTTGGATTTCACATCGACCGCATGCGCATACACTGAGTGACCAGTTCGTATCACACCGCCCGATGTGCATCTCGACGTCTCTGACGTAGTCGGTGGCCTGCAGTGCTGGGCTGGAGAGGTGAAGGGAGATTCTCAAACGCGTGGATCTATTGTTCCGGAAACAAAGCTGTTGTAAAGAGCAGACCCTTTTTGTTACCTAATATCTCACACGCGCAGTGAGGTAATGCATTTTAACAGTGTCTCCATTACGTTCAAATACTAGGAAAAATGAAACGGCTCCTATATCGCGTAATGCAGTGCTGCGGGGCTGTGTGGTCGACATGACCACAGGGTACGGATGAAACGAAAATGATTGACGTTCATTTGCTTCAGGAAATTAGTCAAAATATCCTTGTGAACAGTTGGGTCTGAGCTATCAGTAACCGCAAGAGAAGTAACTCACAAGAGGGCAACTTATTAGACAAATGTTATCAGTCAGACAAGCGAGTAGACTCACGTGCAGGAAACTTGCTGATGCTTTCGGCCACCCGAATGAGCATTTTTGCCGCACGAAAGTGATCACCATTCTTCACATGCACCTGAAATGAAAAGTAACGTAGAACAACGCTCACATAGGATTCCCACATTGAGTTGGACCAACTGAAATGCGCTACCACGACACAACTTTGTGCCAAATCCCAGGCCTACATTTTGCTCTCTACGTCTCCCTCTATCCCCGCAAACATGAAGAAGTTGTAAATCACGTAAGATTGGTGTTTTCTTCAACGCAGCTGCTTCCGTGTAGCTGGTATATTTAGGAACATCCGGAGGACAAAAAACAAGGATGGCAGATAATGATCCTGTTTAAATACCGTACACCACTGGTGTTCAGCCGAAAGTTTACCGAGTTACGCTCCAAACTACCAGCTTGGTTAAGAGTTAAGAGGAAGCTGTGATAGCCCCAAATTGATCTGTTTTCGAGTACCCTGTATTTGTTGTACACTGTTTTAAGGTCAATTGAATGAGCTCCCATTACCCTTTGGCCGGACTGTCACAAGCCGTAATCAGCAACAAATGTGCTCAGTGCTCGAAGCTACTGTGAGATGTTTATGAAGCGAATGGCCAGCCGGATGTTTAACCCTTGGAACACAGTCGCTATCCTTATGAGCGCATATGATGGCTAACATACACGCAAAGCGACGCCCAAAGTTGGATGTTAATGTTACACAAAAATGGTGACTATTATGAGAATTCAGATAAGTCAACTTTTGTAGTAAATAGCAAACGTGATGTCAATGCATGAAGTTAGTGCTCATGGATGCTCGTATTGAGATAAGAGCACTCAACCGTCGGCATACATTGTCTTAAATAGCATAGCTATACTACTGGAGGGTTTCGACGGTGCTTTCCCCTATCACTGCACTCCCTCCATGACCGACCAGTTTCGTCCAGGTCAGGACTCATTAGGTAGCTCAAGCTGGGAGGGGAACTCGGAATATAGTGGTTAACGGCTAACGCCATGCTCCCTACCCATCGAGTTCTCCACGAGCAGCACTATGCCACTGTGGTCGGCACGACATTATCTCACCCCTACCAGTATGCCAGAAAACCGGAAGGAAATAATATTCTTCGCTCACCTAGGTGGTGTTGCTGGATGCCAAACTGTTAAACTCAAACTTCACTTTTTCAACAGCGGCCTTGCCGAGACGTATGTTGTGGCCATAAGAATGGGTGACAATGAAACTCTAACGCAGTTTGCACCCTCTGGTGGTTCTAGAACTCTGGAAGCCCGCATTTTATTACGCCTTTTGGAGCTTAACAGGCAGTGTGGTTTCAGCCATTTGCTTGTTCTGTTGCTAGTTTCCATTTACCGCGGTAAGAAATGCCTTTGATGAGCAAACTGTGTTGCTCAAGAAAGATGTGTTTGGTCACGCTGACAGCAGAACTGCTGTTTGGTGGTCCGAAACTTAAGCAGAGCAGTGGGCGCAAATTTGAGACTCTTATTCTATTCAATACATAAATCCAAGGTTTAATGCAATCTGCATTATAAGGTGGTTTTCCGAGGACACAAATAAGGTGGATTGGAGTTCACAAGCCTTCAGGTCCTAACAGTGGCTATCAATTTGAGTTTATTGACTCACTTAAACTTAAATCCCGCCTTCAGTCTAACTGCAATTATGACGAGGTGACAGCTTGCTTGTGCGACCAGTTAATTTCCCCCGGTACCAATAAGAACCACAGCGCTACCCTACCCCATCATCGTTGAGCTTGCGCGTGCGCTCCAAACTAAATGATTAATAACTCAGCAGAAAAATATCCCATCTGACGATCAGATATGGCGTACATCCAATCGAGTGAGGAATGATATGGGACTCCTGGCTACAGTCCCATTCGGTCCCAATTAGGAGTTAGTGAAGTAAACTTCGAGGGCCACTCAGGTCTACCTGCTGCTGTAGAAATGGAGTTACTCAGAAAAGTCAACGTGAAGGTTGTGCTTACCTTTGCTAATATGTAGGAATGTAACAATGCCAAGTTATCTGCCATCTCTGAGGGCACTCGCAGATTCCGATCTCGCAATTCCTGCACCAAACGAAACAGTAGATCGTGTGCACTTCGGTAGTTTCCGACAATCTGTTCTTCACGTGCAATAATGACAGCGGTGCGAGCTGCCTCTTTGTACTGTTTGAGAACCATGTACAGCCGGAATAGATGTCTGGCGTCTTTCGGCACACCGTCAGATTCACCCATCAGGAAGACGACGAGCGTATGTGCCAGTCGTGCATCACCCGCTCGTCCAACTGCCTCCAGAGCCAGATCCAGTGCTGGGCTGTTTTCTGTATATGGTACTCGCAGCGCAAGCCTCACCGCCTAAAAAAGATGGATAAACCAACTGTTAGCTACTTTTACTAAGACGAAGTGGGGATACTGAAGTTGTCCACTGTCATCTGTGTCTGAATTTTTCCGAAAGACATGATTGCGCAGAAGCAAGGAGCTACTATCCCGGAGATTTGATTATCAAGTGCACTTTGCTTTCTAAGCAGTGGTAACCAAAGTAGTCAGAAATGTCGAGACAGACATCCTACTACATGTAAATAGCAGTTAATTTACAGCAGAGATACCCTCCATCAATGTATTAGTTTTCGGATTCAGAAGAAAGGTCTAAGTAGCCCCTAATACTTTTCAGCACCAGGTTGGATGATGCGGCATCAATCCACCGCTACGTTGTAAGTTATCAATCGGAGTAAATGTAGTGCGCATCGACGTTTTCAACTGTTGCACTAATGGGGAACACCGGAGAACTCATCCAACGCAGTGTGTACAATTTAGCTGAACTGTTTCTGAATTGTGCAGCCAGTGGGATATTCTGTCCATCGAGCAGAGTTTATGTGCAGGCTGTTTTTGGTTTTGCTGCTGCGAATTCTCGATCGACCTTGCGACGCGACATGTGATGTTTTAGCTTATAACCTGCAATAAATTGTTGGCCAGTGGCCATTGAACCTACTTAACATGCACAGTAAGCAATGCATATCAGCATGAACTTTTATGTCCCACATTTAATCCGTCTTATGTTTGGAAGAAATGACGAATTTTGATCGGAGACCTTATAGCCTATGTGACCAATCGTGAAAGCTTTGGAGTCTAAGTGATCAGGACACGAACGCAAGGTTAAGAAACAAATCACGTCTTCTGTTGTCGGTGCTCCAGAGTCCTGGACTGGATATTGATGGTAGCTTAACCTACCAAAGAGTAAACCCCAGTTCCTTGGTTCGTGCGAAAACAGAACTCACGGAATCTGTGAGAATTGTGCACGCCCAACCAGGGACTTCACAGCTTCTTCTGTTATATACGGAAGTTCAGTGCTAACGGTACACGTATCCCACGACGCCAGTGATTGCGCAGACCTAATCAGAATGTCATCGGACAACCAGTCATTGGTGAGTCAAGTGCCCGTGTAGAAGACAGCCCTGATCATGCTTCTGACTGACTCGTGTTCGGCTGTATCAATACTACCAGTTTTATCCATGTTCTGGTATGTTATCCACCTACAAAGATCAGTTTTGGCCACATTCTCAACACAGCAAGTAAAAGACTTAGTAAAATGGAAATAAGTACTTGCCGAAAAGGAATAACAACATTGCCTGGAAGTACCAGGGTCCTGTATTGCTGATGACAATCGTACAGTGCAGTTGGCAAGTGGATAAGTACAAACCGCTGAGGGGACAAAGAAATAACGCCAAACTGTGGGAAAGGAAGTGAATGTCTAACGCATACTTGTGGATAGTCTGGTTAGATGTTACCTACGCCGAAATGATGTTCCACTAAAATTTCCACGCGGTGTTCCGAAGGAATGAACTGACAATGCTCACTAGATCATGTTGCTCATCCTGTATATCCCTGGTTGAGGATATTCGATAAATGCTATACCGGTTCACAAATCGCTTTCTCAAAGTTATCAAAGTTTATCTGACGATAACCATCAATTTCCAATGAACCGAAATGGCTGGTTCTGAGACAGCGTTCTATGCTTGAGATGACGGAAGGGAAAGATGTTCTGATTACGCACAAGACAACTATGACGTTCTGCTAATATCAGTTGTTGTTTCCTAGTGCTGCTGTTATAACAGTTGCACTTGACAGTGTCCCATTTGGATCAATTCATTAAATAACTGTCCGGACATTATAATGCCACTGAGTAGCCGCCGCATGGTTCACCGCAGGCGAATCCATCCTTTGCTATTTCGAAGTTTATGCAGTCATCTAGCAGTTATTTTTGTCCTGCTATGTGGGATCTCTGTGGTAGCGAGGTTAAGCTTCTACTAGTGTCACCATCGCGACGAGACAGGACCGCAACGTGGTGCGATTGTATGTGTGTCTCAACGGTCCATGGACCTATGCTGGGCGGTCTGTTTTTCACCTTCGGAGCCACTCATGTTAAATCAGTCACTGGTCAGAGGCAAGACCAACTCAGTTTCTTGACCCTCCAAGTTCGGGTTTGGATTGAGAGTGACTACTTACTCCAGAAACCGGACTCTCCGTAACCTAGTGTTAAACTCCGCTGTCTTGAGGTCAGGCTTTTGAACCAAAGGCTTTGTTTGATTAATTATTCTCCTGTCTAGGTCTGCGAAACTTGACAGTATCCTGTCCACAAGCAAAGGCACCCTCCATGCTGCATTGAGCAGGATGGATGGACGTTTGGATGTTACTGCTCTAGCCTTCCCGCCTTATACCATCTCGTGTGCATTTACATATGCTTCGTCAACTTCCAACGTCACATTTATCCCCCTGTTTTCAATCCTTAACTCTTGGCCCTTCCCATCTTGCTTCAGTGATCGTTTGTCTGCTAGTTTCGATTCACACTCAATGGCAGGGTGCCGATCCAGTCCAGTCGACAAATCAATGTTCGACGAAGCAGACAACGTCCGTTCATCCGTTACCCTTTGAAGCCCACTATCCTTGGTAAAACTGTCATGCCCCAAGGTGCGCACTTGATTGCATTATCCAACGGACAGAAGTTGCGCGTGCAATAGAGACCCTGTCGATCGATATTTCCTGCTTACCGGAATTTTGTCTGCGAGACTTGATCTCTCTGCTCACACTGCCATCCCCCAGAAGCGACCTAGACGGCAGTTCCTCATTGCGTTTGACTGGAGACAACGCAACTTCAAATCCCGCTCAAGCCAGTATGGCTATTGCTCTGAGTCCCCGGGCTGACTGATTTGATCCCAGTTAAAAACTGAATGTGCGCCATCAGAGTGGCTGGCTCATTCAAAGTTGGGAAGTTGCGCGCAGACAAACGGTGCCTCTTTATCATTGCGGCCTACGCCCCCCACAGGCTGTAGCACTGATTCGGTGAAAAATGACTTCTATCGCTAATTGAAGAGCTCCTTCGCCACAGAAGAAGGACGGACATCGTAGTGGTGACTGGGGATCTGAACGCTCAAGTTGGAATATTGTCCACTGATGAGCTGCATTTGGACGGCGAACATGGTGGAGGCTCTCGTAATGTTAACAATGAGCGGCTGATACACCCGTGGGAAGATGCTCATCATTTTCTCGCGAACACTAACTTCCGACCTAGCTCCTGAAAATGTGACATGACAAGCACCAGCCTCGGATTAGCCATGGACGCAAATCAATCACATGGCGATCAGTTATCGCTAGAGTGGATGCGTCTAAAACTGTCGATCGATTTGTAGCACGAGCGTGGACACTGACCTCCCACTCATTTGTGCTGACCTTACAGTTCGCTTTGGCGAGCGCATGCGGCAACGCTGTAAGCGCATAAATATTTGCCAGTTCACGAAGCCAGCTGTTCTAATTGCACATCAAAATACGCTAGCATCCGACCCGCGTAAGCGCTCTTTGAACACAGTAGAGGGTCACTAATCGCATATCCACCAGACGTTATTAGCATTATACATGTCCTTATGTGGTAAATCAAATTGAGAAGCTGGACATTCGGTCTCTATGGTATCTCTGGAATTCTGGTTGCTCACTGACACATTTCGGCTGGGAACGAACACGAGACTCGCAAATACCTCAGGGCGAAACTGTGTGCTAGCCTGAAGAAAGACCGTGAAGCCTGTTAGTCACATCGTGCATCGGAGATGGAAATGGCCACTGCCCTTAGTGATCATCATAAGTTATTCCGTCTGATACGGGAAACGGGCAGTAAGAGACCTGGTATTAACGAAACTATACGCGAGGAGGGTGGATGGCCAATCTACAGATTATCAAAACGCTTGCAGCGTTCGGTCGAACAGCTTAATCAGCCAGGATAACCAGCCTCTATATTGCCCACTGATCGCGCTTCTGTCTGGGCCGTCCCACTGGACCTGCCCTCACGCGAGGAAACCGAACGTGCGATCAAATTTGAAAGCGATTAAGGACCCGGGAGCAGATAAACTTCATCCAGCCGTCCTCAAATTCGGGGATTGTTCTTTTTGATGATCTACACAACTTACATGTGAAGTACTATAAATGAAAACTGTCCTAGCAGACTGGAACCGCTCCGTTGTAATCCCAGTTTTCAAAGGGGCTCATGCTCGGAATGCGTCACTTATAATGCGATAAGTCTGATCTCAAATGTCTCTAATCTACCCACCGCTGTCGTTACTCATAGACTTACTGATACCCGTGAAAGCTAGGTTCGTGAACATCAAGCCGAGTTTCGTCGAAGACGCAGCCGTGTTAATCAAATCGTCACATTATGTCAGTTATTAGAGCACGGTCATTTATCGACGAGCCACCATAGTCGTGTTTCTCGACATCAAAGGTGTCTTGGATTCGGTGGATCGATGTGCCCTTTGGGACTATCTACCCAGGAAGTTGTGCCCGAAAAATACGTAAACATTAACTGAGCGCTGCACACGCATAGTTTGGGCAGAGTGATGGCTTACGGCAAGCTGTCACCGCCCGTCACTATCTCCAGCGATGTGAGACAAGGATGCACGAGGTCTCCTTTCCTTGTTAACTTCTTCACCGAAGGAGTAGGGGAGACTGCTTTCACTGGAATGGAGTTGCTCCCAGGTTACTGAGTGCTTGATTTGTAGTATGCCGACGACATTGTTCTTACCTGTGACTGCTTCCAAACAAGCCAAGGGTGCTTCGCACCCTCGAAACGCGGAATCCCTCTTCAAAATTAGCAGGGACCCGCTTCTGCGCTGACCCCTAGTGGTTATAAGCTAGAAATCCACTAGAAATTCAAGTATCTAGGCAGCTATATCAGCGCAAGTGGAATGGGAGATGAGATCACGAACCGTATAACAAATGTCAGGGCGGTTTCGCCAATCTCTATTACATGTGGCCTCGGTGCGACATCACTCTTGCCTTGAAGGGTAGTGGTTACAATGCAGTCGTATATCCAG